CGTTAATTGAAATAAGTTTACGTTGGAGGATTCAAAAGCCGTGATCAAAATTAAGCAATTTGCTCTGCCGACAGCTTGCTGCGTGAGAATTTGCATAAGAAACACTAAATTTTATCGCAACGGATCCCCGTACCGAGTGGGGAGTACAACCCTTCGTAGTTGTGGCACTCAGAAAACATACTTAGAAAATCCAGTGGAAACCAACAGGGAATCGTCGTTCATATAACACAATCGGCCGCCCCTGATCGAATCGTGGCCTTCCGTTTCCTATACATCGAAAGGTTGAATATTCATGTGAAGAAACGCGTGTAGGTAGACAGGTCAGTAGGACAGTGCGTGTAGGGTGACAGGTCAGTAGGACAGTGTATCCGTAAAAGAATATATAAGCGGTGGTAGCGCACACCCACACTTGGTATGTCACACCCGCATCAGAGCTGCAACACTCAGTATTGGGGCACACCCGCACATTTACCTACATGCATTTGGTTCTTAGGGTACTGCACTTTCTGATCAAGTACACGTACTGAACATCTCGCTACAACTCTCGCATATACACACCCGTGCACAAATACTAATATGCAATCGCCAGTCGGCTATTGTATTCAAGCTCACACAGAGCTTGATAACACAACACACGTGTATGCACACACGCACACATACCTTCAAGCATTCACCACTCAGGCTATTGAATATTCTCAGCTTGCCGTCTCTACACTGTGCAGCGATCCTGTTCCCGTCACTTGACCATGTCAGACTGAATGGCCTTGCCCCTTCTCCCAGGCGGATGGTCTGATGGCACTCGCCGGTGGTAGCGTCCCAAATGCAAATGTCATCATCTGTGAGGAACGCGTCTGACTATATTAGTAGTGGATTAAAGAACATGCGCGCAACAAAATCATCCTAATTAGTGATATTAGTAGTTGGACACTCGCATGCGGCCGTACGAGACGATAAGAGCATCGGAGCTTGCATGCTGTGTATGAAAATCGAACCCGCAGACGAGTACCTAACCATGAGACTTACTTGATAGAGACTATGTGTCTATAAGGCTTCCATGGTGTATT